CCAATTTATGTGACAAATTTTTAAATTGATGCATTTATGTTTATAATTCTATGCAAATGTTTTATATTTCAAACTGATTTCAACATACTTTTTAAATTTGTGGCTATGAGAGTTATAGATGTATTTTAAAATGTTACAAAATATTTTGAAAGAAGAACACTGTTAGCAAACAACAAGCATTAGTTAATGCAAAGTATATTTATCAATTTATTCCACCTTTTACAGATTTATAAAAATCTTTCTCTGAAGTCAAAATAACTCATTTATCAAAATGTATGATTTATTTTGTTTGATTTTTTTAATCGAGGAAAGAAAATCATGTAACAATTTTTCAACTTGCTTTTGTTTAGAATTTTGGAGGAATGGTGGATTGGCAAGAGGAGGTAACAGCTGAGGGAAGCTTGAGCCTGAGCAGTAATATCAGGAGGAATCAAAAACTGCAAAATACAGAAACACACACTGAGACCTCAGCCCAGCTGAAGAGCAACCAGCAGGGCACTTAACGTGTTCTGAACTTTCAATCTGACAGTAAACTGGGGCATGCATCCCAACATACATCTGCTTATTTGTTTATATACCAAATATACATTCGTTTTTACTATACAATCTTATGTTTCATTAGAAAATGTAAGCAAAATTATAAAAGGGCTTCAATATTGTTATGTTCAATTTTTAGTCTGAGTAGTGGGATATCCATTTAATTATCTCCTTTATAGTTCATATATATTTTAAATACGAGAGTATGCTTGAAATATCCCATAACAAAAATGAAAAGAGAAATGGCAAACATAAAAGAAAATATAATTTCTAAGATCTTCTTCCTGAACTCCAATTTTTGAAATCATTGTTAAAGGGCAAGTAGCTTAACACAGATTCTTAGATACCATCTTTCTCTTGTCCACCCTCGTGCACATTCTTGCCTCATTTGGAGTTTTCTGTGAAGGAGCAACTTTGATGGACACAATTATAGTGAGAACATTTTGAGGTCTACAAAAATATCTTGTGTCAACCTATAAAATGAATGAGTCCTGCTTCTGTTTCTAACTTCACTTTAAAAAAAAAAAAATCCAGTCTGTGTTAAAGAGACTAATTTAAATCACAAGGTTCTAAAATTACTAAACCAACAGCAAATGTTAAATTAATATTATGAACAACTTTTACAAAGTACATATATGTGCATATATATTTACCTTTATATGTAAAAAATATCTTGCTGCAAATCATCACCCTTGATATTGAAAATAAATATATGCTAGTGTTATTGAGAGTAAGAATCCAAACCAAAGGTATAATTACCTTCAAACATTTTACCTGTAGCTTCCTCTAGTGTAGCAACATCAAGTCTAGGACTGTAATTTCCATAACCAGCAGCGGTAAAAGCTCGAATCTGGAAAACATACACTGTTCCTGGTTTCAGATTATTAATGGAGGCTGAAGTGGACTTGGTTTTTACTGTTGAGTAGGTCCGTTCCCTTTGATCCTAGAAACGATATTTATAGGAAATATTTAATTGTGATTACAACCAGATAATCTGACAGCCAATTCTTTGCAATTTATTTCAGTTTTCTGCATTGTTTTTGTAGAGTCTACATTGCACTTTGTGGAATATTATAGAGTTGTTTCTAAGTTAATATAAAATATAAATGTGAAACACATGCATTTGTTCCATAAATTTCAAGGAGAAATAATTTTGTTAAAACATTTATTATGTTTCAAGCTTTT